CAACTTTCCTGAAGCATTCGTATTTTTCCGGGTGGTTCGGCAATATTTGAATGCTCATACGATGCTTTTCTGACGCAGTATAACACTCATGTCATGTCATGTACTCGTATTCATTATTTTTTTAAATTTTTTATACATCAAATTTGTTATCGGGGTTCCAGCTTTTATTCGGAATGCTTATACTGCACGACACCATTTTGCAGTCGTTTCAAAGGTTAGTTCTTCCGGGAGAAAAACCTCGAGTTAATACACTTAAAAAATAATGTTGTACATGTAATACAGTTAAAAAAAAATAATGAATACTCATACGATGTTTTTCTGACGCAGTATAGCACTCATGTCATGTCATACACTCATATTCATTATTTTTTCAAACTTTTTATGCATCAAATTCGTTATCGGGGTCCCAGCTTTTACTCGGAATTCTTATACTGCACGACACAGTTTACAGTTGTTTCAAAGGTTAGTTCTTCCGGAAGAAAAACCTCCGGTTCAACCTGCTCTTTCAATTTCACGAGGACCCGAGACGGTGGAAATAAAACAGGTTATCGAATATAACCATAAGTATAAGAAAGGGAAACGCAGCATTTTAAAGCGATCACGACCTCTAATTACACGTCAGTAATTAAAAGTGCCTTCCATCGATTTCCTGCACAAGCACTTGCCTCCACGCAGCGCCGCGTGATTTCCGACAAAATAACTCGAGGTTTACTGAAGATATTGGAAGTGGGTCAGTAGCACCCATTTTCTTGAAATTTATTTCCTGAAAATGAGGAGTGAACTAAACATCAAGGAACTTTTCAGATTTTTTGGCCCCAAATTCCATAGAAACCCTGTTTTAAAAATGTCAAAAACGGGACCCCTTTGAAGCGATATTTTTGGGGGGCTCTGCTGATGAAGTAGCCAGGAGAGGGACGAGGTAATTGCTGATTGGCTGGCTTAGCTTCAGGCTTCGGCTTGCCGCGAAAATCAGACTGTCGGCTTATGATTGGACGGATTTTGATCAGCTTTTTTACCCTTTTTAAATGATGTTTGGAACTTGTAAATTAACTCTTTCACCTGTTCATAAAATTTCATGCAGGAAAAACTAAATTACAACCGTGTAATAATTCCTTGCCACTACCCTTTTCAATTAGAAAATTCTAAGCGTCAACGATTGATGATTTAGCACGGGGTACTTTACGTACACTAGTGAACAAATCTGATTTCTATTGCTTCACAACGAGGAGTTTTCTCTGAATGTTAGTCTAGCTTTTATGGCAAACACAGTAACTAATAAGCCATTAATTTCCATAGGTTGAGAGGTGCAGTTAACTCTTGCGGACTGACTTTTTAAATTGATGGACAAAACAATAGGCAAAGAAATCAAAAGGAAAATGAAGCGACGCTATTGGTTGGAGCGGGAAGAGGTATGTAGTGGACTAGCTACAAGGTCTCGCGAGGGTGCCGTTAGTTAGTCTTATACCTCTTTCATTTGTCAATTTTCAACCACCCTCTTCCACCAATCGGATCATTCCATTTTTCTCTTCCTCTCATTTGTCCATCAATTTCCATATTATTCAGCCCGCGGCTGATATCGCTTACAACTTACAATTAGGGATTTCTACGAGTATTTCAGGTTTTCTTTTTTCTCCTCTTTGTTTCCAACAATTAAGCTTCATTTACACGATGCCTGTATCGTGAAAAATTTTTAACGGATAACACAGATTGCATCCGATAAAAAATACTGGTATTTAATGCATTTACATTGCAACTATGCTTCTTTTGTGCACAGCATGTCGGACATTCCGTTTTTTACATCATTCATAGCTAGAAATCTCGTTCTAATAACGCACCAGATCTCAAAACTTTTTGTTCCTTATTCAATTTGGACCGATAAGACCGATTCAATTCACGGATTCCAAGAATTATTTTCAGCGTGAACTCTTTCTGTCTCTTTCTGGATCAAGTTTTTCACTACCATTTTCTCAAAGTTTCCTTCAACCTTCGACGGGCACTTATCAAGTTACTACTAGATTGATTCGTCGCTCATCGGACAAAAGAGCGTATCCTAAATTCCACTTGAGCCCTGGAAAACATGTATGTATATTGAAAAATGGGTTCAACTCAAAAATCAGTAAAGCCTTTGGTTTATCTGGTTAAATCTGTGAATTTGTTAGTTAGCTTAATCCTTAATCCTACGCTTACTGACGGGTATGGGGGCTTGACGGACTTATTCAAGGAGAAGATTAGCGCATGATTTTCAACCGATCCTGTTTGTCGAACACAGCTAGATTAAAACGCTCAAACATATACATTCTAGATCGCGTCCTCTCGCTGTCAAAGTGTGATTTTTTTTTTGGTATCCATACATCTTTAACAAATCCATACAATTTTTCAAATTCGTAGTTCGTCACGAAAATTTCGTCATCTCAAGACCGTGAGCTGTCTCTGGTTTTACACACGTGATCAGGCTCACAAGAACATTCCCGGCGCGGCGTAAGTACGTACGTAAATCCCACATGGGTGAGATACCTCGGACCTCAGGTTGACAACTTCAAGGCTGACTCAGCGACTCCGTTCAGACGTGTGCTGGCGGCACGAATAACCGCTAAATATGCGGAGGTATTATTTAATCGGTTACCGAATCGAGAAAATCACTTTTCGAGATGCCGCTGATGTAACAGCTTGGGATTCACGAAAATTTTTTACTCCTTTTTATAGCCACTTGGAGTGGTAAGTGGGTCAGCAGGTCTCTTGCGCGGGTAGTTTTTTTTTAAAGAACAGCGGGAAACTGAAAATGACCTCCGGTATCCGATGCTTTCGTTTACGTAATATTTATGTTTTGCGGTTTTAGTGGTATGGAGATTCTGCTGTGAAAAAAGTATTGGCCTACTGAGGCTTGATTTTATCGCCTCTTGGTACTGTCTCAACTCTGGGAAAAATCCGCTTTCCGACGGCAAATACACTATTTTTAATTACCTAATATTTTTTTGAAATTTCTTTCATTATTTTTAGTTCTTTCTTTGTTTGCAATGCAAGATTGACGATTAACTGTCCGTTTTACAGCGAATCTTCAACGCCAATCTCTCGATAATTTGAGAAACATCGCGAAGTTTACACTATATGCAATTTTAATGAGGACGCACGTCTCTTAGCCCTTGTATTCCTACTCCGTCTAGTGAGTCCCCAGTAATTTTATTAACCTTTTCTCCCCTATCAAAACTGACCCAATTTTTTTCGACTCGTCTTTCAGTCTAATAGTCCTCTTTCCGAGATAAGAAACGCCAGTTACTAACGCTAAACGCTATAGTTCAAGTGGAGCGCCAAATTTGCAACTCCGGGTAAATTAAAATTTCGATCGCGCAAACCGATGTTCGGGTCGGAAAACCGAATTTTTCGGTAAAAAATATGAGCTTGATATGCCTGACTAAAGCGAGGCATTGGGTGCAGAGCGGGCATTTCTTGGTTGCGGTGTTTTAGAATCTCCACAGCTAAGTTACATTTTAGAGAGGAAACTATTGGGTGAATTTTCTAAAATTTTTAGTTGTTAGCATTGTGAAATCGTAAAGATAATTCAGTATTAATGTTTTATCGAATTTTATGCATTTGCTTTAATTATGGTGGATGAAACGTGGACCGCAACCAAGAAATGTTGGGCTTGGAGGACAAGGCGCATAAGTGCAGTCTTTGCTATTTCGAGAAACACGTGTTTGAAGTTTCGGAATTATACGGATCCTTTAGGTGGAATACAAGTTTAACTGACTTTTTGATGCTTAAAAATTAGAATTTGGGAGCAAATTTTTCACAGAATGTGCATTGAGACTTGTTCTACTTGAAATCGCTAATATCTCAATTTTTTGAGAAACTGCATTTATGCGCCTCGTCCTCCAAGCCCCTCAAATGCCCTTTCTGCACTCAGCGCTTCAAATTTGTTACTCGAGAAAATATTGAATATTGATTCGGCATTTATAATGTTGAAAAAATGTGCGACAAGTATCAAATGTTAATTTTACATAAAAAAAAAAATACTAACTTAACACTCATGTTCATTTAACCGTGGACGTAGTCAACCCAACATTTTTTTATTGTAAAATCAGCACTTATACTTTACGCGCATTTTTTAACAATATAAATGCCAAAGCAACATTCAATTTTTTCCGAGCACCTGAGCTGAAAATTCTAGGGTTCCAAGTAAACCACACTGGAAAAAAAAAACACATTGGATCTAGAGCAGTCCAGACTCTTGAAAATATCGACAAGAAAAACTACTCTTGATTCAATCGGATTTAAGCTTAAATCAAGAACCCAGCCTCTTAATTTGAGCGAATTTCTTCTTCTTCTTCTAACTTCTGACTAGGGCCGTGACCCTGTTTGTCTAGCCTCTAAATTAGTATATAAATATGATAAATAAAATATGATGGCGATGAGAGAGATCACTTAATACTCCGGGGATGAAAGGCAGCTCAGCGGATTTCCTTTTGATTTAAGCTTAGATCTGATTGAATCAAGAGTCCTTTTTCTTGTCAATGTTTTCAAGAGTCTCGACTCTAGATCCAATGTGTTTTTTTCCCAGTGTTCAACGTCACCGTCTCCGCGACTTTCATGATTTCTCTCCTCTCTATGTGCGGAATATTCTGAAGGAGATGATCATAATTCCTTGAAACTTTCAGCGGATGTCCTGTGTGGAGGAAAGTGAGATCAGCGGAAATCGCGATAAATTACACCGAACACTGGAAAAAAACACATTGGATCTAGGGTCCAGACTCTTGAAAACATTGACAAGAAAAAATACTCTTGATTCAATCGGATTTTTGCTTGAATCAAAACGCAATCCGCCTAAATTAAGAGGCTTGGTTCTTGATTTAAACTAGATTCTGATTGAATCAAGAGTACTTTTTCTTGTCGATGTGTTTAACAGTCTGGACTCTAGATTCAATGTGTTTTTTTCCTCCAGTGCAAAGTGTTTTTCTCCGCGCGAGGTCCTGCAACGAAAAAATCGAACGGTAAATCAATCTAACCTGTGTTTCAAGTTAATCCAAAACAGAAGAGGTGGTCACTTCAAAGAACGTCACTAAGCGCACTCGCGGGCGGACAGCGGCGGAGTTCACTGAAACGGGACCACACGGGACAACAAGAGTTCGCGCTGCGGCGGCGAAGCTGATTTCGCGAGTGATGAGAGAGCGGCCGGCAGCCAGTACAAGAAGAGTCCGCTCGTCGCCCGCCCGGGCCCGCGGGGGAGGGGAGGGAGGGGGGCGTCGCTGATCATCAGTGATTGAACATCTGATTGAATTGGAGAGGCACGAGCCGAGCCGGCCTGGTCGTGGATTGGGGCCACCCCCCCCCCCCCCCCCC